AAATTTTCACACTTCTGATGACCTTGAAAGTAGCAGCATGCGCTCAAAGTAAAATAAAGCTTATTTGTGCATGCCAAAAGAAATAGTATTCGATGTAATTTCCTTTTTTCGATTGTCTTTTCTTTTTGAACGTTCATAACAAGCCGTGAGAGAATCGAGAATCTCTTCATCAGGCCTCAATTTTAATTCAAAAATTTTCCTATAAAGTCTTAGCGCGTGTTGAAAATCATCTTGATCGCAAGACGCAATAAGCAGAATTTTAATCGTTGAAATATCGGGCGCGAGACCTCTTGATTCCATCAAGTCTAAACACTCGTTGGCCCTCGTAAAATCCTTTCTCTTCGAGTAAGCATCTATAAGTTGATTGTAAAACGTAATGTCTAGCTTTATGTTTTCATGTTCCATTGTCAACAAGTAATGCGCTCCTCTAAGATTCCGTACTTGAATGCATAATTCTAACATGATATTATAAGTCTCAATATTCGGTTTAGCTAACCCATGTTGCATCTCTTGATAAATTGGTATTACCCAATCTGCTCTTCCAATACGTGCAAAATTAGAAATTAGTGAGTTCAAAATATCCACATCAACCGAAATACCTTTATCTCTCATTTCTATTAAAAGCCTTTCCACCTTTTTATAATTGTTATGCTGTCCATAAAGATGAAGCATTAAATTATATGCTTGATCATTCAACGTTAAATTCATAGATCTGAGATCATCACGAATTGTACTTAGAAAATTCAAGACAAGAAACTTGTTTTCACAGGCTTTTAGTGACGTGAGCAAATCCATGTAGTCAGCATGCGTCAATAAATTCAAAGATTCTGAGGATGCTTGTGTGTAAGTTTGCAGAATTATGATTAACGGTTTTTTTTGAGATATCTGTTGACGTAGAATATTCACCAACTTTTGATTTTCTTCAGCATCAAACTTTGTTTCCTTACATGTGAGTTTAAAATTTTGCTTCTCATTTTCCGATGGTTTTATATCTGTCTTATTATCATTGTTATATCGAGAATTATTAAAGCTCTTGCTTGCTATTGTGTCATATTGCCGTGTAAAATACCAATGCAACGCCAAAAGTTCTCTATTTGAGCTATAGGTATTATGCTTCCATAATTTTTGTAAAAGACCATTACAGGTGCAAAACTTTCGACTTAGTCGTTGAGGCATCGTTGTTGCTGATGTAAATAATACCCTTTTCGAGTTAAAGCCAACTCTGTAAATATTAAACATATTTATTAGCGGACTTTTCAACCAACAAATAAAATAGAGTTTATTTTACTTGAATGAAAAACCGCATTTAGTTGCCCTGCATCCTGCGCTCCGCAGATTGGAGATGCAGATAGATATGCGCTGGTTAGAAAGGAAACAATTTTGGGGGATGGGTCGGTTCCTTAATTAACCAGTTCGAGAACCGGTTTATAATTAACAATGGATCATTTGTGCAGATGTTATTCGATCTCGGTGTTTCAAGAAAGATTTAAAGCAAGCAGTGTTTGTCGTTATAATTATTTTCAATATTTTCGCTTTTGTAATTATTTATTTAATTTTTTAATAAACATACATGATTATTATATATTTTTTTCTGAATTTTCTAATATAATGAAATTCATAAGATTAATAAATATTTTAGTCTGAGAATTATTTCTTTTGTTCATGTCAAAATATAATATATATAGAATATATTTATATTTTTGAATTAATTAATTATAAAAAATAAAAAAATCTTTTTTTCATGAATTATTATATGATATAAATTCTAAACTTTTATTTAATAATCTAGCAATTCAATAATTGAATATTTTTTAAAAAAATATTAATTTTGAATTATTTAACTCATATATTAAAATTACATTAATTAATGATTTTCTCTATGATATCACAAGAAATATAACTATAAAAGAGATAATTAAAAAGAACTTTTCAGGTTTGGTTTGAATTTAAAGATAGGTGGCTTAGAAACGGATAATCACGAGCTGCACGTGAAATTCATTAGAAACCTTCGATTGTGCTGCTGATAAGAAGTTTTATTGGAGATATTCCCTTTTTCTCACGAATACTGGCGTTTGTACATGTATGATTTAAGTCGGACTTTTCTTTTTCTCACCGGGAGGACTGGGCGTTTGTACATGTTGTTTGACTCTAAAATGAATCGAAATTAGCTAACGTTCTAAATTACTTTATAATAGAGATTGTCCAACTTGAAAAAAATTTAAGATTTGACATTTACCTCACTAAACAGCAACCGGAAAGAAACCGGTCGATAATAGACGCATGCCTCCCAAATTAGATTCATTGATCCTTCGAAATAATCATCATAATAAAATTAATCTCGATACACAATGAAATTCAACATTCACGTAATGTGACTCAAAAACAGGATTGGTCTAGCAGGGCATGTATGTATGCTAGTCATCAATTTGATATGCATACCATTTGCATTCGGTTAATGTACTGTTGTTTTTGTGTGTGTGTGTGTATGTGATAAGAAAAACCGAGCATAAAATGTCCGTTTATGTACGAATCCTTTTTGTCATCATCTTTAAGAAAACCGAGATTAAAAAAGGGAAATATTCGGCCGATCGGTAATAGGTGAATATGAGATGTGAAAAAGTATGGGTCGCGAGAAAGCCTTATTATTCGAGATTACGCGATTGACGGTAAACAAAACGCATGAGAATAAATTTTTTTCCAGTGGTAAAATTTTATAAGTTGTTAATTTTGA